GGTGTTTCCCTTGCTGCCGTTTGCTTTGGGGGGGGGGACAGATAAATCATGGTGCCCTGTGCCTCAGTTTCCCTCTCTGTAAAGCAGCAGTTGGCACTGCCTGGTTGGCCATGGTGGTTTTGAAGGGGGTGGGAGCTCCTGATCCGGCCAGGGCTGGGGAGGGCAGAGCAGGTATCATCACTAGTGCCGTGCAGGGCTTGCTGGGAAGATACAGAAGAGATGGGGGGGGGGAGAGAAAGCTGAATTAATTTGTATGAATTCCCCCTCCCCTCGTTTTCCCCATGGCTTTCAGTTCAATGCTCGGGGAGAGGGAAAGCAGCATAGCAATGGCCCGTTGCCAGTGCTTGTAGCTCTGCTCTCCTCCTTCCCTACCAGCCTGCCCGCTGGCTACAAGAGCAGCAGCCCACAAAGCCAAGATGGGTTTGGGCTGAGCAAAGCCAGCTGGGCTGCAAAAAGGACTGACAGCTCAGAGCTTGGCTTGGCCTGGGTCCACGGAGGGATTTAGGAGTCGGATTCCCTCCTGTGTGCCCGGGGGAACCTGACAGTCTGGGAGGGTCCCAGAGCCCTGGGCAGAGTCCTCACTTGGCAGGAGCTTGGGAAATCCCAGCAGGGATGGAGAGGCAGTGTGAGGATTTACGCTGAGCCGGATGCAGGGTGGGGAGCACTTAACTCCCCCGAGCTCGAGCTGGGTGCATCTGCAGGATGTGTGGCTGTCCCCCTCCCTAGCGGGGGGACTGGGTGGGCTTCAGAGCCCTCCCACCCCACTGCCCTGGTGATACCTGCCTCCTCTTTCAGGCAGAGATTGTCAAGAGACTGAGTGCCATCTGCGCCCAGATTATACCCTTCCTGACGCAGGAGGTAAGAGGGGGCACGTGCCGGACTGCTTGGGCTTCTCCAGAGGCCCTTGGGAAAGGGGAACCGGAATCCAGCCTGAAGAAAGGGAGGTTCAGGGAGGGAAAACCTCTGCACCTGGACCGGAGGGAGGGAGGAAGCGACTGCACGTCCTGGGTCCTAGCACAGCTGGGTGCAGGGTCGGGGCCACGTGAGGTTTGCGGCCGCAAGCACTGCGTGACCCCCCGGCTTTTCCCCCCAGCACCAGCAGCAGGTCCTGCAGGCGGTGGAGCGGGCCAAGCAGGTGACCATGGGGGAGCTCAACAGCATCGTTGGGGTGAGTCGCCCCGCCAGGCTGGGGAGTGAGGGCTCTTCCCTGCTCCAGGCTTGTGGATTTGGACCGCACAGCGTAACGATGGGGGAAGCCAAGGTCTTTACTACCCTGACGAGCCCAGGGGTGGTCTGCTGCGGTGATCAGGGTTTACCCCCGTATAACGAAGAAGGCAGACAGCCTCTGGGAGCCTCCCTAGCCCCAGCCACACCGACCTGAGCAGGGGAGAGCCATGGGTTGGGCTCGTCTGTCATGTTTCAGGGGTGACCTCCACCGACTTCTGTAGGAGGTGCTCCAGGCACGGCGTGGGGGAAAGGGCAAGGGATGGGACTAAAACGGCACAGCCGTGACAGCTCTGCTCCCCTCCTTGTCCTTGGTGTCGCATCTCATCCCATCGCGCTTCGCATTGCACTTCACGCAGCGGTTCCGGGGCACAGGCATGGCTGGCCTGCGCCTGTCTCCTCCCAGCACCCAGGACCATTTGCTTTTTCTCTTTCAGCAGCAGCAGCTTCAGCACCTCTCCCACCACGCACCCCCCATCCCGCTGACCCCCCATCCCTCCAGCATGCAGCCATCTAGCCTGACGGGGGTCAGCAGCACCTCTGGGCTCCTGGCCCTCTCGGGGGCACTCATGGCACAGTCGCAGCTCGCTGCCAAGGAGGACAGAGTGGTCCAGGATGGGGAGAACAGAGGTAAGGGGACGAAATGCAGCTGGATTAACGCTTTGAAGGCTGGCTGGCTGGATCAGGGTCCCAGAAGGTGGCCAGGCAGCACCGGGGCGGATCCTGTTCCCAGCTCTGCCCCTTTCCCAGGGCTCCTCAATGTGTGGCAGCTGTTCCCTGGGGCCAGGGGGAGCGGCGGGCAGAGCAAATGACAGATCCAGCTAATTAAATATCTGCAGCCCCAAGAGGCTGGCTCTATTTTTGACCAAGGGAGCAGCTGCCATGCAGCGACAGTTCCAGAGAGCTCGTGGCAGTGCGGGGGGCGGCTGCGCGCGCACCCCAGACGTTGGGCAGCAGGGCTCTGGGTACGTGCATGCACATGGGCCTTCTGCCTCCGCTGGGCGTTTCCAGCCTTGGGGGTCCCCCTGCAAGAGGCAGTGGGTAGGTGTGAGCTCCCCACTGCAGAGAAACCCTCTCTTTACACCGAGGTTCTCAGGCACTCATCTGATGCTGGAAGCTGGAGACTTTAAGGGAAAACACCTTGTTGTTGCAAGCCCCTGGTAGAAATTGTGGGAGACACAGGTCTGTGGCAAGGAATTTAGAAAGCTTTATTGCATATGCAGTGCCTCGTAGATAGCAATAATCCCTCATCCTTATGGGTGCCTCCTCCTATCAGGATCACAAAGTGCTTTACAAACATCATCAATATTTAATCATCGTTAAATCAGTTCTGTGAATGCTTCTGGCAGGCTTGGGCCAAATTAATAGCAACACCCAGCTTTGCTGGTGGCCTGTTGCTCTTGAAGCATTTTTTAAGGAGGAGCCACTCTGAGCTCAAATCACCTTCTACAGAGTGTAGGCATCCAGTATTTTTGCTGATGGGCAAACTGAGGCACAGATGGGGCTCCAAGCCCTGGACAGCAGGACAGGTCCTTGGACTAGAAACAGGCAGTAAAACTTAGCAGCCTTAGCGATCCTGCTCTGCAGACTTCTCTGGAGAAGGCGCTGGCTGCTCTTGACAGTCCCTGGTGTGGGGCCTGGAAGCACTACTGTAACAGGACACAATGGTGGCAGGGAAACTGGTCGCTGGAGGGGTTTGTTTCATTTTCTTAATGATCTGATTTTGCTTGTAAGACCTAAAGGTGGTAAAAATAGCATGAGGAAATTGTCCATGTATGCACACATGTCTGCGTCGCACCCGTGCACACAGGTGTGTGCAGTTTTAATTCTGTCAGTGTTTCTTTAAGGATGGCCTTCCCCTGAGGGAAAAAAGCAAACTCCAGAAAGAGGATAAAAGCAGGCTGTGCTGTGCCTTCCTTAACCCTTCAAGACCCAGGCAGCCTGTGCTGAATGCTTTCAGAGTCAGCTTGCACCATGCATGGACTAGAGCTGGTCCTCTGCTGGGGCAAAGTGGTCTGGCCGGCATCCAGCAAGGGCAGAGGGCGCACAGACACCCGCAGTGATTCATCCTTAAAAAAATTAGTGAAATGCTACATATGGTTTAGGTTTAATCCTTGGTGCTCCCCATAGTTAGCCGGAGCAGGTGTGGATCAAAGTGAGCCAGCACTGAAGTGATGATCCGGGCACCTGGCCCCTCTCCCCCTTCCCCCTGTTTGTGCTGACCAGAGTCCTGCAGCAGCCACACACGTTAAGGGTCCGGCATCCCCTCATGCCCTCCTGCCTCATTCCTGAACATCTGTCCTCCTGCCAGCAGAGACTGGGACCCATATATCCTTTCCAAATGCTGATGTGGTTATTAGGAGTGAAAATCCACTGGGGAGCAACCCAGTTATCAGCAAGACCCTAGCTGATAACCTGATGCGTAGGTTGTGAGCAAATGCCTGATGCGCCTTCCCTGAGCTCAGGGAGAAGGAGCTGGTTTTTTATGCGCTGCATGTGAAAAAGCCTTGATCAAAGGGTCTCTAAGCAGGGCTTTTTAGCATAGCTTTCTAGGGAAAAGGGATGGGTGTGATTCACGAGGTCTCAGCTAGCTAGTCTGCTTGTCGCTTCTTAATAACTTTGGAACCCGTTGGCCAGTTCCAGCCAAGAGATTTCAGAGCTCTAATGAGTTTCTTGGAAGTGGGTGGCTGGACAGATTCCTCCCTGCTTCCCTGAGACAGGCCAGTGTGCTCACCTCCTATTAGGCACCAGAGAATCCACAAAGCAGCCTGGGTCCCTCTGTCTCCTCTGGTTTTATGCTGCACTGCCCCTCCTTTTCCTTCCCGCCTCTGCAGTTTGAGCATAGCCACGGTGTTAACAGCCTCTTTTTTTTTTTTTTTTTTTTTTCTTTCTTCCCTCCTCTTTGCCACTGTGGATGTGCCTGGCTGCTTTCTTCTGCCGCCTGGCCACCAGAGCACACCCCAAGCCGGGTAAGTCACACCGACAGGCCTGGCTCTGGCCAAGCCAGTGGCATGAACAGGCCTCCTGGAAGCATGGGTGGGTGGTGTGGCTTTTCCTTCACGAGGTTCTGGGCTGCTCTTGGAGCCTGCCAGCCCTCTTGAGCATCACTTAGAGCATCTCCAGGGTATTCTAAGAGATATTTTGTTAATGTGTGTGGTCCTGTTCCCTGTAAGCTTCTCAGGGCTTGCAGGACGTTTGTCCTAGATTTCCTGGTCCAGTATCAGGGAAGCAGAGCTGATTCGGAGCCCCCCATACTGGTGTCAGTTCCTGGAAAGACCTTTATGCTGCTAGGGAGAACCGGAGTGCTGGGGTGGCCCTGGCAGGGAGAATCCAAGGGAGAGGTGGGCTTAGCTTTATGGTGACCCCATGCTCCGCGCCCGAGGGCTGGCAGCGAGGGGCTGGCACAGGGGCTGCCTGTTCCGGAGGCACTGCAGCCAGCTCCCTTTGCAAGCACTCGCGGTAGGATTTCCAGGAATGTTTTGTTTCCTGACCTTTGAAAGTAAACAGCCTGGAGATAGCGGAGCTGCCCTTCTCTTTTTGGTGGCAGCCTCAGAGGCCATGCTTCAGGACAAAGGGAGGGAGCGGCAGGGACTGGGGTTTCCTTTCTGCGTGGCACCACATCGTTTCGTGGGGCTCCTCGGGGGAGGATCGGCCGGAGGTGGGGAGGCAGCTTTGCAGGCAGAGCAGCTCCACGTTGTTCCCTTGAGAGCTGTGCACCAACGTGCAGACACCCTGCTCCCGTTCTGCCAAGGACCTGTGGGTTGCAGTGGCCCAGTGCCTTCTCCTGATGTGTGGGCTCCTTTCTTCTTTCTCCCTTCCCAACTTGGTGAGTAAGGACAGGAGACATCTCTCCCTGCTGCTGTGGGTCAACTTTCCTTTCCAGGCTGTTTGTGTTTGCACGCAAGATGATTAGGGCAGTTGGCTCCCAGGACTGGCCTTTCCCTGGGTGCTGAGTTTGCAAGGGCTCAGCATGCCAAGAAGAAAAGGGCAAGCCGTTGAGCTGAGGGGGATGGGATGGGGAGAGGAGCTAGGGTCATAGTCCCCTTCTGCCTCTGCAGACCCCAGGCTGAGGCCAGCTCTACCCTCCCCAGAGGGTCCTCACTTGAGGCTGGACCTAGGCTTGGGGTTGGAGGAATCCAGCTGCAGTTTTGCAGGGGAGAGGTGGAGCTAAGTGGAGTGTACATGTGTAGAGGGATATAGGGGAGAGTCTGAGCAGAGAAAACAAGACAAAGGGTTCTGCTCGTCGTAACCCCTGATCCCTTTGCTGTGCTCGCTCAGGTGGGCTGTATTTGCATTGAGGAGGGAACCAGGCAGGTTTGTAGGTGAAGGTGCTGGGCCAGCTTGACTCAGAAACTCTTTGCTGATGCGAGTATCTGAAGGTCAAGTGCTGCTCCCAAAATAGCTAGCTCTGTCCTTTTTGAGAGTTTCCAGGTTAGCAAACAGGCTGAACAGGTCTCCTTACCTAAGCCCAGCAATGCCAGTTCCTCCCCAGCCCTTGGCTGCATCCTCTGCTTTTAATATCCCCCAGCCTTGGCAGGAGTCCCAAAGCAGTGACTCCCAATTGGCTCCAGTAAGCTGGAGCTACAGCGCAGGCCACAAGCAGGGGAAGGAAGGGTTAACTAGCCCCGCCACTAAGGAGCAATTGGCATTGATCTTCATAAGCTTGCAATCAGCTGGCTGAGGGAGAGAGAGAGAAATGGTTGCCCTAGTGCATCCAAGATAGACCAGGCTGTCTCCTCCAGGGACCACCCCAGGGGACAGGACCATCCTTTTTGCTCTGTGGTTGTACGTGGCAAGGTTCCTGATCCTTCTGTAAATGACCATGTCAGTGCCCTGAGACAGAGCATTTTCCTCCTAACGGCTAGCACCGTAGTCCCCGGGAGGGCTGGGGAACTGCACCCTGGAAACCGCAGCCCCCGACACCCCGGCTGCTTTGGAAAGCAAAGCCGGTTTTGGAGGTGGGCCAGGGAGCGGAGCAGGCAGCTCCTCCTCTCCCATAACCAGGGACGGATCTGGTGTTCCTCTGGTTTGTCCGCTAGTGCCATGGGACCAGGCCCCCAAGCGCGCACGCTCGTGTGCATGAAAGAGAGCAGGAGTGCGTGGGCGGGCTGGTGGGTGGGCAGGAACCACTTGATTGTATTATCATCGGAGGAAACAGCCGAGGGGGGAGGGAAGGGATTTAAGCCGCCCCTCGGCTTTCGGCACAATCTGCTCTCGGCGGGAAGCGAAGCGGGCTGGAACAGGCTGGGGCCGAGGGTGAGGAAGGGGGACGAGGCATTCATCTCTGCTCTGCCCCCATCCTGCTTTCTCCAAGCCCCGCTGACTCCTGCAGCGGCAGGGTTAAGGCAAAGTAAACATTCAGGCTCCAATGGGGATTTTCCACTCCCGCCATGCCTTATTATCTCCCAAAGGGGCGGATCTGCTCTCCGGTCCAGGGGCTGGGGAGGCTGCGTTGTTCAGCTCTGGGTTTCACGTAGCCCTGTGTGCAAACAGCTCGGTCAGGGCATGGCTGCAACTCCTTGTCCTCTCCCCGTCCCGCTCAAACGCTCCCTCCCGGTTCACGGCAGGGCTTGTCTGCCAGCCGGGCTAGGGCCCCCCCTTGCTCACTCCTTTGCTCCGACAGAGCTGGGAAGTGTGTGGCCCTGCCTGGCTCCCAGCAAGGCGTGTGGCTTTGCCGTTTTGGGCATGGTTTTGTTTTCTCCCTCTTCCTTCTGCCAGCCAGCCAGCCTGCCAGGGAGATGCTCTGCCGCGGCGGAGGCGGTGATGGGCCGCGCTCCCTCCTCCCTCCGTGGAGGGGATGGGGCATGGGTCCTGGCCGGCTTCCAGCGGAGGAGGGTGGTAGGAAAGGGTGAGCGCAGTTCCCGTCGGAGAGACGTCCCGGGGGCAGGCTGGGAAAGGGAGGTGACAGTGTGGTTGGGGCTATGTGTTGCCAAGTCTCTGAGCACCTTAGACATACGAGTGGACCTGAACCTTGCTGCCTGCCGCCAGCAGTAGGAGATTGTCCATCCTGTAGTTGGGACAGCCAACCCACGGAGACAGTCCCCATCCTCCTTCCCTGCTCCCTACCCCATCAGGGCTGAATGGGGAAACAGGCTGGAACCCAGGAGCCTGGAGACACCTGCCCCAGCCTTGCTTAAACCACCAGACCGGTAAGGGGATGCCAAAGGTATCTGCACAGAGGACGTGTGTAATGCCTTCCCCCTTTGGTTCAACCGAGGAAGGGGACCTCGGCCACCCAAAGCAGCTGTGGCATAGGTTGGACAAATAGCTGGCTGGACTCTGGATGCTGGCTGGGAAACAGCCAACGGCACCGAGAGGACTCTTCTAGAGAGGAAATGTGGTTGGCACTGCTTTGCAGCCTGTCTGCTCTCCAGCTCATTCACCTTCCTATTCCCCCCTCCGGCTCAGAGCGTTTCTGCTTCCCCTCCTGAGAGCCTGCAGGACGAGGAGCGGACGGGCAGCACAGGGCTGAAGCGGAAACGGGAAGAAAAGGACCTTCCTGGGCATTATGTGAGTGCAGCCGCAGAGCGTGGCCATGGGAGATGGGAAGGGTCCTGGAGGTGGCAGGGGTGTCTCTCCGCCTGCCCCTTCCTGGGGGTGAAGAGGCAGAAGTGGAGAACATCCCCGTGTGGTTGCTCTGCAGACTCCACCACTGGGTGAGCTGGAGCAGCTTCCCTGGGGTAGCTGGGACATGGTCTGGCTAAACGCCCCAGCTCAGCTTAGAAGTGGAGCAGTTGTGTACGAGGAAAGGCCCAGCAGCCTCAAGAGCTGGAGGGGGAAAGAGCAGTAGTCTTTCAAAAGTAAATAAACAAAAGGAAGGGCCCCCCACTCCTGAGGAGACCCCTCAAGCCAAATTGTTGGAGTCGTTGCCTGCAAGATGTGGTGTCTGGCCCCAAGATCCACTGTGTGGTGGGAGAATGGGGGTCTCTGTGCTGGCCGGGGGCCCATGGAGCAGAGCCCGGAATTGGTTCCAGCTTCTCCCACTCTTAACTGAGCCTTTATGGATTTCGCTCTTCCTTGCAGGACAGCGATGGGGACAAGAGTGACTACAACCTTGTGGTGGATGAGGTGAGCCCAGACTGTTTTAGGAAACTTAAGCCTTGCAAGATATCAAGCTCAAGCTGCAGTCAGCAGGTTTAGGACTCTGGTTCCTGCCGGCAGGTTCCGGGTCCCTGCTATGGGGCGGGAGCGGCTGACCAGGACACATGCCAGCCTTGCTCTGATGTGCTCCTGCCAGCCAAGGCAGTGCTCTGGGCTGAAGGTTTGCCAGCCAGGGCTCAGCTTTGCCATCCTTAGTTGGCTCTGTTTCGCAATCCCATTTCAGCCTGTCTCCTGTGGCATCCCATATGGGGAGGCTGATAAGCTGGGACAAAAGCCCCAGGGAGGTGCTGCTGGCACCGCGTGCACGTGGAGGTGGCAGGAGCAAGCAGGCAGAGACTGCAGCAGCCCATCTTGTCCTGGCCCTGCCAGTCCCCGTCCTGGGTGGTCACCTACAGTGCCTTGGCTAAAAGAAACCTTTGCTTTAAAATGCTGAGTGTGTCTAGACTGCAGGGGGTACACTGAATTTCAGTCCCTTCCAAACAAACTGTCAGGCCCTTCTGGTGCAGCCTTCCCCGGCCACCAAGGCAGATACAATTGTACTTTATCCCAGCCCAGCTATTCTTGGCAGAGGTGATGTTTTTGGGGACATCCCTTTTTTTCCCTGGAAGACTGGGAGGAGGGAAAAACGCATATGCCGTTTTCTCCTCCTGCCACTTTCCCCAAGCCCTAAAAGGAACATCAGCTGGGATTTCCGCAGAAAACGACACTTATAAAAACTGCTCGTTGGTGTAATTACAGTGATAAAAATCACAGACCTAATTGAATGGTATGGGAGCGCAAGAGCTGACGGGTGGCCTTGCCTCGGAAGTGCTGGCAAGGGGCTGCCCGGCGGCCCCTTCCCGGCTCCTCGGGCGCGCTGGGAGTTAACGCCTTTCCTTCTGTTAAAGGCATCCGTGGCGACCAGCGTCCTGTGAATCTGTTGTCACCACTAATTTTGTTCAGGGGGGGGAAAAGCCGGGAAAGTCGGTTTCTCACCCAGGGGCCTGTTAGCAGCTGCTCCTCTG